CGTCACTTTCTTAAGTTACAAATACCGCCAATAATACTTCAGAAAATAAATCAAACAACTAATAGTGGTGGCCACTAGAATTGTCCAGCAAAGCAGATGCTAAGGAATGTCAATTTTGAGAAGACTTCGACTACTTCTACCCTGATCTAATGATCAATCAGATGGCGGGCAAATTTTCAATCGTCGATTCTCAATAAATTCTAGTTCATCTGACCTTTTCAGTTCCGTAAAAAGTTCCGTTATTTACACACAAACCATTTACGCGGACAACTCGAAACCCACGTGAGATGAAACAAAAGAAAAATAATTTGAAAGAATACCTATCTCCCTCACCGAGAAAATAATTAGAATAAAGTGAATGATTACGGAGCTTCTTATATACTATTCCAAGAGGACGGAACATATGCAAATTTTGGACACAGTCATTGAGTACTGTTTTGTGTTTTCCAAGTTAATTGTTACCCGTATACTTGCCCACCCCCTTTTATAGCTCCTCCTTAACAAACTGTCCAAAAGATTTTTTTGTAATTTATCGGGATGAACTGTTGAAGTGTATGCATATATTTTAGCATTAATATTTGCAGAATGATTCGTTTGCTCGCTAATTTCTTCTTCATTGTCTTTCAGCTTTGTCCATTTTTTCATTGTTAGTAGTAAGTATAGAATTTTTGGCAGTAACTGTAGTGATACCTTAGTGATAATTACTTGCTTAGTCACTTCGTTTCAGCTTCTATATTTTTTTCTCTCAAAATGTCGTGATGATTTATTGCTTATTTTATTATCGCATTAGATATTGAGTTAAAACCAGTTTTAGCTAAAATATTAAAGATCAGCATTTTTCAAAAAATACTTTGCATGATCTTCATCAAGAGTCACGACTGCTTTGCTTTTTATTAAAAGCGAATTTCTAAAGATTTGAAATATTTTTTGAGCTAACTTCCTTTCCCCTACTTTTGATGCAAATATCAAAAACAATTTTCGGGAGATTTTTATCCTTGCATACTTTCGCTGATTGCTTTTTTCTAAAATTTTGCAGAAATGGAAATATGATTTGGTATGATAATTTCTAAAATCAATTGATGAAACATTTATTTTTGGACATCACGATGATTAATTTCATAAGCGTTAAAGGTAACCATAAGATATTCTACATGAAATATTTGCTGCAGCAATATTTGTTCATTTTGCAATAATTTGATCTGATAAAAGAAGAAAAACAAAAGTGAAATATGCAAGAATTTGCTTTATTTTTTCACCTCTACAATTACTGTATTATTGCTCTTTTCTTTCTGCAAACAGACTTTGCAGAAAGTATCAAAAGTTCATTTTATAGGTTTAATTGCTGTCGCCACAATGGCAAAGCTATAACGTAATGAACAAAGGCTATTGTTTTAAGTGATTTTAATCCGCTTTGTAACCTTAGCATTCAATAAAATCCCTCCCAATTTTCTTCCTTATAAAGCCATTCATTATAGTTCCTTGTTTGGTATGGCTTGATTGTGAGGTGTCTAGCTTGCTTATATCTTTAAATGTTTTATAATTAAGTTACATTTGTGTGTTATTTATCAATTCGTTATTGTAATGTTGTATAATTTGTAATGTTAATCTGTGGTTTAATTATCCAAGTTTGAGGTTTGAATAATAAAGTGTTTCACGAAGTACAGGTAAACAGTACAGATTCGAGAATCTACCAGTATCGAAGACAAAGAAATCAACGATCTGAACTATCAAGAAAGGAAACCTATTTTGTTTCACAAGGAAACAGGGCAGTAAGAAAGAAATACTAAATTTGCTTTCACAACAATTGCATTTTTATTTTCCAAACTAACAATTTCTGTTCAAGAATCCAATCAAATCAATGCTTATTAAATTGTATCTTGAAAAAGCCAGCCATATTTTAAATAATACAAATTTCGACAAAATTGCTCAAATTGTTTTGAATTTGAAATAGGAAGAATCCAATAAATTGTATGATAATAAGTTAACATTCTAAAATGCTCCCGCAAAAATGTAAAATTCTAGCACAAAATTATAATATAATAATATTTGCAGTATAATTGTATGCCAAGAATTTACTTTAATGAATATATTAATCTACTAATTGGACACCTTCATTTTCAATTTTCTTATCAATGCATCTTTTTCACTTTTGATTTTTGTTTGTAATCTCAATGAAAACATTTGGTAGAAATGCACGGCTGGACACAATTACGATGCAGTGACAGTAATTGGACCGAGGACGAAATCCAAACGAGAATTTGTCAAGTATTTGAAGTGAACGATATGAAACTCGCTTTTTTCTTCATTTCTTCTGAAAAATTTTTAGAATTTAAAATAAATCAAGTACTTTAGAGAATTTGAATAGTCAGAAATTTCAGTTGCACAATTTCTAGCTTTTTTTTTTTTAAATTATATATTGAATATAAATGACTCCAAACATTCTTTTGCCTACTGGAATCTCGAATTTATCACTGTGAATGGCTAATTGTTTACACATGACAGATTGTAATGCTGTTGAAATACGTCCAGTATTTTAATATCTGATTACCATTTTATTACCGTTGCGATAATAACAAAGGTTATCATTTTTTTTTTTTTTTTTCAATTCTTCTATGCTCCATTAAATTCTTAAAATTATTTTTTTACCTGAAAAACAATGAATAAAATTTTTAGCACGAGAGTTGCACAATAACTATTCTAATAATTATGGGAATAAGTAAATGAAGCTAAATTTATCCATTCCATTTTGAATTTCAATTGATACCTAGCATAGTAAACATAACTTGATGGATGAGAATAAAAGTTTGATGTGAGTGAAAATTGCCAATAGAAGTTAGTAATAACAGGTTAGTTTTCATGGTTCTTGTACCTATAACAATAATTAAATATCTTAAATTTTAAAAAAAAAAAAAAAAAAACAACTTCAAAATATAAAATTTCTAGCTCATTTCTCTGAAATATCCCTATGTTTTATTTTTTTTTTTTTTTTTTTTTTACTTGAGATGAAATGAAGGTTAAATTCTTGATACTAAAGAATCGAGTTCCAATCATTTTTGGATTTGCAACTGCTTTTTCACTTGCATATCGAATGCTTTAACATGTAAAAAATCCTAAGAAGGATGCAAATACGACCGAAAATTGCACTTATGAAGGTAATGTTATGTCTATATCAAATTCAGAACTTTGTAATTTAGAAAAATAACTTCAAATTTGTAAATTGAAATTCAAAAAAACTGGTCACTTTTTCTGCTCTTTCCTTCGTCTTTATAACCATTCTAAAGTCATATCGCTTTAAGTGACATTAGTTCGGTTTTAGTTTCAAACATGCCATAACAAGCATTCGATCAAAAAAAAGATGTCGACTAATTGGACTTATAGATGATCAAAAAGACATATTTTTTGACTTCCTTGCATCATCCATTCAACTCTTCCTTCCAATCTTCCCACATTTAAATTTTATTTATAAATTATTTCATTCTTATTGTCCATATGGCAACATTTACTGATAGTATTTCATCTCGTTTAGAAAAGGAATGTAATCAACCTTGTCTTTTAAAATAGTTTTTTAAGATGGGCAGGAATTCGTGCCGCATTTCTGATTTAGATAACATTTCGAATTTATACAAAAATTTGTGAAAAAAAATGAACCAAAAAAAATAGATTTTTTGTGAATCCAGGATAATAGCACGTCCAAAGAATATTGATTTGAAATTTTTTAAATAAATCTCAAAAGTTGCCAATTCAAATTTACAAAAATCTTAAATGTAAAAAACTTTTCAGGAAAAGATGTGAAAACGTTTTCATCGGCAGTTAGCATCAATTAGAAAATATAAAACTAACTTTCTTCATTGCTAAAAGTAAGATGCAATTGCGTGGCGATCAATTTCATTTGTTTTGAACATTTTTTCGTTTATTTAAGGTATATTTCCAGTATAACTGATTAAAACAAAAATGAAAATTTTTATTTTTTTAAGATACAACTTTATTTCATGAAAAGTTTATATGAATGTTTAGGGAGGAACTCTTAACTATATTTTCTTGCAAAGATAATTTTCAAAACATCCTTCTCTCTGTAACAATATTAGAATTGATTATAAAAAAAATGAAAGAGAGCAGATTAATTAATTACTATTAAATGATCTTTATAATCGAAAGTTGCAAGTGGGGAAGTGATGGACGAGTTGAATGATGACTTTGACCTATTAACCGTTGTACATCTTCAATAATAGAAATGTACTGCCAATCATGAGTAATTGATGATGTTCACGTAAGTTTCTGGCATGAAATTGACTTCAAAAGAAAGTTTGATGTAAATAATATAGATTGGTTTTGATTTCTGAAATATTTGAAGAGGAATTTATAAAGACACAAATTCATTTTCTGCTTTCTTCATTTTTTGTTCTCACCAAACACTATTTCTGTGAAATGTTATATTTTACATAAAAATTTTTTAATACAAGAGGTACTGCGAACACACAACAAATGATATAAACGTAGCGGTTAATAGTTTAGTATCTTCAAACTTTTCATTAATTTAAGCAGCAAATTGTTCAAAATTTCCAGAATAATCATAAGAAACTGTTAATTCATTAAAAACAAGACAGCAACAACAAATACAATCTGAATATATATCTAAAATAAATTGTTCCACTATTATAAAGTCCTTCTGGAAATTAATAACTGATTTTGTCCGGTTTATAGTGATACTACCTTGTGGAGTATGTTTCATCGAATTACTTAAGTGTAACAAAGCATTTTTAAAATTGAAATAATTGAAATTAGGTCAAATAATGGCTAAATTCAGGATGATTCTAAGAAACTATTAAAAAGCAATGAGAACAACTTGCAGTTGTGATTAAAATATACAACGAACAAATTTATTTTCCTCTCTATTTGTATGGGAAGATCACTTGAATTTACCCGTTTCAAAATGAAAAATCGTCCACGGATAATCACTGAAGTAGTTTAATCGATTTCAGAATTTCATATATTTGATCAAATCAACCAAATCTTGGTTTTATGTATGAATCCATTTCGACAATAATATGATCCAATTCATTGTTTTGAGATTTATCCCTGTAAATCAAACAAGAAGTCAATTCGTAATGCCGCAAAGGCCTTTGAAAAAAGTGACACTAAATTAATTAGCAAAAGTCAAACAGACTATGAAACAAATTAAACGGAACGAAATTTAAATTAAATTTTTCTGGATATAAGTTTTTCCATTCTGAAAAGTTATGAATGCTTTATACCGATGGTTTTTTCGAAAAGCTGTTCTCCATTTCTGAAGCATTTGCCTATGAAGAATATCAATTTTTCCACCTTTCCGAATTCGATACCGGGCTCTAAATCACAAATGAGTGAATCATTTTGTAATTATCAAAACTAATTCATATGAACAAGACAATTCAGCTCTTCATCTCTTTGATAAAATAACAGCGATAAATGGATTTTTCTAAATTTCTAAAAATCATAAATCCCTAAACTTTTATTTTTTATAAAAAATCTTCCAGTAAGAATCAATTTATTTGAAATAGTAGAAAAAAAAAAGTCTTTTTTATATGATATTTCAGATAATACTTTAAGGTTTAGTCATTTTTATGCAATTTTTTCGAAGTATTAATTAGATTATGGTTTTAAGAAGGCTCTTATATTGCTTCTTTGAACACAATTTTTAGTAATTGTCTGAAGAGCCGATAAAAACTTTTTAGGACTTATACTTACTTTTCTGGCAATTTGCTGGATACCAGGAGGAACATGAAGAAAAGGATAAACAATTCGTGACGCATATTACTACAGAAAAACGAAATGTATCTGAAATTTATTGAAATTAACAAAATTTATAACAAATAATTTTATCCTACGTTTTACGGTTCATAATAAAAACTATTTCGATCGAAACGATTTTTCGTGTTTTACAATAGCTTAGACGAAACATGGAGACTTTAATTTTCTGGTCTATATGAAATGAAATAGTTTAAATTGGAAAGTGCAAACGAATTAGAGTAAAAACACAAAGAGGGAAAAGAGAACTGAATCGTTTCAATCTACTACTTACACATCAAAGTTTACTTCAGCATTCAAAAAATTTTATATAAAGAAATGACTGGTGAACTGTTATTTAAATATATTTTAAGTTAGTTAAATTTATCACTTTTGAAATGCGAAAATTGATGGCAATTTATCTAGACTGATTGTATTTGCAGAGCAGATGAGCCGTCTGGATTGAAAATTAAACGCCACTAACATATGGACAGCAGACTAAAATATTTACGGCGGTAGAAAAATGCAATTTTTTTCTCTTTTTTTTTTTTTTTTTTTAAAGGACACAAAAGAGACCATTTAATTTCTAATTTTAATTAATTAAAACCAAAATTCGATTTTCTCAATTATCTCAACACGCCAAACAATTCACCAGTGAGCCTTCAAAATGGAGTCAAATTTGAAAATCGGAAGAAAACAGTACTTTCCTGAACAAAAAATTTTCAATTTCTCATAATTTTGAAGTTTCTCAGTAGTTTTGCATAACTCAACCTTTCAACTTTTGCGCATTATTTATTTTTACGGCTAATAACACAGCCTACAGATTATAAGGGAATCAATAGAAAAAGATTCATTTTGTGACATTAAGATAAAATAATCTGTAATTGGCGCATTTTGCTGCAGTCACCGCTGTAGTATAATATCAAACGGCGTCCAATAAATGATAATGTAAGCACTGATGTAGAATGCAACAAATTAACAGTAAAATAAATAATTATTAATTTATCAAACAAACAAAGTTACTCTTGTTATCAAAAAAGACGTGAACAAAAAAGATGAAATTTGAAATGTTCATTTTTTTTTAACTACTGGTTTTGATTTTATTTTCTCACCATTTAAGAGTCATTTAATGCTTTCTGTATGAGATCAATTCTGGACTAGGTAAGGTCACTTTGCTCTTCTCATTAAACCAAGTCCGCAATATTTTTATTTAAACGCAAGTGTCCGAAGTTGAAATTTCAATTATAAAGTACCGTGTATTCATAACTGTTCATAAATTTTCAGTGTCAAAGTAAAAACAAAGACAATACCAGTGTTATCCCAATGTTATTTGCAGTGGAATACAGTGACATTATAGGCTGAAGTTGATCTTCGTCATTTTTATGTTAATGTTTATGAGTACTTCACATCAATTATCCTGATTCTCTGATATGAATATTAATTGTTTTACTTAATATCCTGTCCCTTTTCTTTAAAAAAAAAAAGTGTCTTAATCTTAAAAATTTTTTATCTTGAAAGCAATTATGCAAAAATTTCCATTTTTCCTGGTTTGCTGATTAAAAGAAAATCCGGTTTTTAATGTGTCGTTAAATAAATGATGCATCATAAAGCGGTTGATTCATATCCCTTCTTAAGCTGAAGTAATTTTGCGCAAAATATTGACAAATTAAACATTTAATTATTTGATTAAATTTTCCAGTATTAGACAAAATTGTTATTCAGGTTTAAAGATAAATATTTTCAATCTAGTACCGAATTTATCTTTGTTGATATGTGCTTCAATGCATCATACTTTTTTGGTTTCAGATTTCTGTTGTCTACTAAAGAATCAGAATAAAATGTTGATTTTTCATTTACAACTAAGTTTTTGCAACATGTCTTAGGAAATAGCAAGAAAGAGTGTAAAAAAAAATCGGCAAATAGGAAGCAATGAAGGTTAATGTAAATGAATTCTACAAATATTAAAACAATTAGAAGTGAAAAATCTTAAAACACAATTTTCTATCACTGAAATAAAATTTCTTACCAAAAAAGGAAATAAAGAAAAATGAAAACAAATAACAGTTGTAAAATTCAGCATCAAATAATCGACGAAATGATTCATTAAGAAACTATCAGTTTTGGAAATATTAAGCAATTATTAATAGCAAGTTCAAATTACCATTAAAAAATTCAGTAAACGATATTTCAGCATAAACTTCACCATTAGTAGATTACATGCGAGTGTACTACAACTTTAGCCTTCATCAGATATGTAATATTTAAAAGTTAATCTAAAAGCACACGAAGTCAAAGTGTTATGACATGTTTTGAATATAACATTTGAGCAACAACTACTGCAATAAACATAGTTCTACAACTAACTTTTGTAACAAATTAGCTAATGTATTAAATTAATGGATGTCAACATTTAGTGTGTTTAGTGGTTGCAATGTCAATAAAAGTTAATGTCATTTAATTGTCCATCCGAAAATGAACACTTATGACAACGCAATTTTAAGGACGTGAAATATAATTAATACAGTTTAAAAGAAATAAAATATAAATAGCTGTGCTGATGGAAAACAGGTTGAATAATGATTTAAGAAAGAAATTCTATCAAGCTAATTTCATTTTGCATCAGCAGATCATTCTCGTAAAAATTAAAATCATAGCTTATCATCCGATTAATGACTATCACAATCACTACTACTACCAGTACTATTGATCTTCCATTTCTTGTCTCATCATTTCAATTATCAAAAGCTGTCAGTGACGTTTGGTATGCTCGGAGATGAATTAATGTTCATTTAATCATCAAAATTCATGTGATTGCAACAAATATTTCCTATGACTAAAATGACAAACTATGAGAATTGTTGAATTATTCGAATCTTTTTTCATAGAAAAAAGAATTTAAATTTTGCGCGAAATTCTTTTCATTCAAAGTGGAAATGCATGCAAGTAAGTGCAATCGTTCTTTTTCAATTACAATTTATCCAATTTGTTGTATTTGTGCTTTTTTTCTTTTTTTTTTTTTTGTGGACAAAATTTTATCAAATTTAAATAACACAGATTAGTAATGCAATTTTAGCATTCGTACATCTTTTGCAGATCTTTGCATTTCATAACTGTAATGGTCGCTTCTTTTACTAAAAAATTAAATTTTCAACAGAATTTTTTAAAAAAGATAATATTTTCTTTGAGCTCTTTTTTCAAGTGGAAAATATTTTAATAGCGCAAAGAGGCCTGAAATACATATTGGAAACTTAAATGAAAGGAAATAAAAGTAGAAAACTCTTATCAGTACTAAATAATTTGCTAACAATCAATCTTACGTAATCTTAATGATAAATTATCATTTAATTTCTGCTGTAGCTGTTAGTTCAACGACCAATTACGAAGGAATAATTAAATGAATTAAGCAAGAAAATGAATATTGAAATATTATGGACTTATTGAGTTTTAAAAACGCCACAAAATTATAAATGTGCTTGTTTAGATTTGACAGTTTTATTAAACATCTGCTCGCACGTTTTCAAAGTTTGAAAATAATTTATAGTTTCAGAAAGGATTCAAAAAAATAGAAAAAAAAAAAAACATTTGGTAACAAACTAATTGAAGAATGATTATTTCTATAACTCATCTAAATTATAGATTTAGAAATACATTTATACCTAACTCTGTATGATGACATTAACAAATCTATTATTAATTTATTTGGTGTCAACTATATTTGTCACATTTAATATTCATACCTTTTTTTACATTTCTTCATACTGTTTCGTGCTATGCAAATAACAACGCATTGGCAAAAAACTCACTAAACTAGCAGGATGAATAATTTATTGAAGCTAATATATTCATTATTCCAATTGTTAAGCATGAAACATCAGATTTAATGTACAGATAATATGAGAGCGTAAACGAGAACTTCAAAAACTAACCAAAAATTTGAAATTATAATTTTGTACACTGAATGAATTGAGTGTAATGTTCAGTAGCTTTATAAATAACCTGCAAGTAGCTACCGCCTACCTCACATTTCCTGTACCCTTAGGGTATTTCCACTGTGAGTGGAAAGAAGGAAATAAAATACTGGATTGAAAATACCGTTTGAAATATTTCATAAAGGTATTCTAACTTAAAAAAAATTGATCAAAGGCGGGATCAAAACTATGGTCAACATAAAACAATCAAGAAGAAAGTAAAAATTATGTTGAGAAAATATAAGTCATTAGCCATTCGTTCATCCACTTTTTAAATAAAATTTTTGTATAATGTTCATTAAAAAAATGCCAAAATAGGTTGCTGAATGAGTTTAAAGGAAATTATTTTCTCTCAATAAATTTGCAATTGTAATTAATTACAATGGCTTTTCCAATTTTATTATATTTTAATCGCTTTAGTAGAGGAAGTCGAACTTCAAACAAGACCGTACATTTCTGATTCTATCTATACGTTTTAATTCGTTTGTTTTTTTATATAGACTAACTGTGCGTGTTCTTCAATCATTAGCAGTATTAGTTTTTCAAAAACGACTCCAAAATTTATTGTAGCAACTCTCATTGATGTGTAATTATGAAAATTATACTTGAATGATGGTTGAAAATTTAGATAATAGATAAAACAGAGGTACAGAACAAATGTAACATTTGTTTCAAATTTTTTTCGTTTAAAATAAATCATTACGTGACCTATCACTTCCTAATTTATTAAGAAACCAGTCAGGTGTGTAATTAGGCGGCGTTATTGACCGAAATGTTTGTACAAGAGCTTTCGATAACAATAAGGATGAGGAAGAAATTTGAAAAAAAAAAAGTTTGTTTCAGGAAACTATGGAAAAGGTCAAGAGAAGATGGAAAGAAGAGAAGAAAGATGAGTTTCTGTTTACAAGATAAAATGCAAAAGAGAAATATTCCTTCGGGATTTAAGTAAATCCTGCATTTCTGTAAAAGTAATTTATTCTAAATTTAGATTAATTTGGGTTAAATAAATTGATTAGAGATAAACTAACGCAACATGAAATTTGTATAGATTGGGTGAAAAAAGAAATTTAAGAACTTTTAACTGAAAAAACAAGACTTGATAATAAAGAATTAAAGTTTATGCTTAAATCATACATACTTGTTTATGCTAATGTCAAATACACCATTAAAACTCTTCTAATCTCTAATATTTTTTGCGACCTTTCCACTATCCTGGTATCTCTGTAATCCTTGATTACTTTAAGTTAGTTCTCTATAAATCCTTAATTCCAATTAGCAAATTGTAAATACAACTAGCATAGAGCAACCCGCTTTTACCAGATCATTACCACCTTAAATCATTCATTTCATCCATCAGATAAGCTAAGTCAATCAAAATTATCAAACTTTCTCGGGAAATATATGCTCCTCTCACATATGCAATCTAAAGTTCCAAATATGACAAATGATCTGTAAGATTTAAAATTTTAGAAAAAAACTCTGCATTTATATTCAATTACCCATAGGAAAAATTTTGGATTAATAAATTGAAATATATTATCTTTGGCAGCAATAATTAGGTCAGATTGTCAAGATGAACTATCGTGAAAAGTCACGACAAGTTCATAGCAACAATAATAAACTGCATTTTCAACAAAAACCAAAATTCAGACCTCCATCATTAATTTTTACTAGCTAAGAACTTTTACGTATTCCATCTGTTATCAATATTTTGTATTTGTTAAGTTCCATCATTTTAGAGAAGCAAAATATTAAACAATATCAAAAAGAATAGTTTGTGCATACATTCAGTAATGAAGATTACAAAGAAATTTTTGAAAATAAGCCAATAATTAAGGATTTAGCTAATTTTCTGAAATGTATGGAAAGTAGTGCTATTTACATTTGAAATATACGGTTGTAAGCTTTCTAAAGTTGACTGTTATTAAGTGATCAGGAGATCGACTCCATTTTATAAATGAAAAATTTTAATATATTAAATTCATGCAATATAAATTCAGCTTTAATAAAACACGAATTGTTACTGTCTCACTATATCAACTATGTTTCGTCAAAAATAAATATTTTAGCATCGGAAATGAAATGTTATCTTCGTTCATCACATCATATCAGTCAATTGTTCAGTTTTTTTTTTTCTTCTCATTTTGCAGAATTTAGCATAAAAAAAGAACTCTCTGTTCATCAATCATTCAGATGTCAAAACATTGCGAGAATGCAAGAGCATTTCATTCCCCATACTTCAAATTAATATTCTAACTTTATTCTTTTAACTTGTGATATTACCAAGAAAAATGAACGGAAAGGAATGACAAGTGCATAATAAAAGGATCAAAAAATTTCAACACAATTGTTAAAATTGTTAAAATGTAAGTTTTTAGTGTAATTTTCTTCATTTATTGCAAATTTTCCACTCATATGAATTTCTAACCAAATTTATTCGATAGACAATATCGTACTATCAACTCTCAAATTATAATGATGGCAATTCCGTCTATCACATAAAGAAACTTTCATTGCTCATCCTCGTTTCGCTGGTGGAACAAGTTTCCTAGTAAAATTAAGTGATTCATAGAAAATTTTTGAGAAATAAGAAACAAGATAAAATTTAGAAAAGCAAGATTGCATAAGAAAAAGGTAATGATTTCGTTCACATTTAATATATTATAAATTTTGAATTTTATGTTAGGATAGATGATGACTCGTTGAAGGACGGAAAAACGATCAAATACTTCAATGAAACTTGATCTGCCGACATTCTTTTACAGCATGCATCCCAATCGGCTGCTATTTTGAGTTTGAAAATCAATTGGCGGAATAAATATATAAATTGAAAAACCATTAAAAATATAGGAAACGCTGTTAGCCCTACTATCATTAGTAGTAATCCAACTATTACCATCAAATAGTTCATTCAATCGTCATTAGATAAACATTAATTAAGTGAATCGATGAAGAAACATAACTATGATAATAGCTTTGCAAATTCCTTTGATCTAAAAGAGGATTTTTTAAAGCTACCCATGGTATGTTAATGTTTTAGAAATAGTTTTGCGTATAAAACTGATCATAAAAAAAAAGACATTTGTGAAATATAATTGACTTGTCGTGATTTATAATTTCTGACAAAGCTCATTTTGAATTTTTCGATATAGAACCACAGTGGATTATTTTTATAAATTTAAATCCAAAATTTCCTGAATTTGAAAACTGAATAAAATTGACGTCAGAATGGCAATTTTTACCTTGAAGATTTTTCTTTTAAAGTGAAATGTCATCACATTGGATATACTAATAAAGTGACTCTTTGAGGATGTGATTACTTTTCTAACATATTAAACCTACACAGGAGAAACTTTGCAGAGAATTATTGGACAGCACAAAGAATTTAAGTGACATAATACTGATATTTAACATAACCACAAAAAGACTAGATCAGGTCGATCTCCTCAAATTCTAGGATATTTATAATTTTGTTCTGTTCTTAAAATTAAAATTAACCTCAATCAATATATTTTCAACAATATCACATCATTTTAGTCTCGCCTTGATTCCAAAATATCTCTATTCGTCACATATTTACTTCTTCCACATTAGTTTGTTTTAAAATCAAAATTAATGCTGTAACAAAAAAAAAAAAAGAAAAAAAAATGATATGAAGGTTTTATTTCTTGCAATCACATACCAAACAACTTCTCAACTCTCCAAATTTCACACGCCTCACGCACTTCAAAATTTCAACAACAATTTTTCAATTTCATATCAAGAAGGTGAAGCTATAATACAAAGGTGTCTTGAAGAAATTTTTGGATTAAATACGGACAAAATATAAGCAGAATAACCATGTTCTCTCAAAAAGAATAAGCGATCCAATAAAACAAACATTTCTAATGGTGTCTGCATCATCGTTTGCAAAAGCTGAAAGAATTGGTACGTACAGTAAGAGTACACGATCAAAAAGGTTAAAAAAAATTTTATACTGCAATGATAAGACTGTGAACTGCTGTTGTTTAATAACTAATAGTAATAAACAAGTAAAAAAAGTAAAAGACCAGATAAAGAAACATATACGCTAATAAAACATTCCAAAATCTTAAGATTTCAAGTACTAACCGTAAAAGGTTCAACATATGCGAAATACGGTTCTTGGTCAGTGTAGATCATTCTGTACAACCGATCAGTTTGTAAAACAGCATTTTCGCTCAATCCTAGTCGAGATGCTAACTTAACTCCAGTATCTTTAACGTCATCAAAACGACAATTTAGCTTACGACATGGTGGTAGTAAGTCTGAAACAAAAATACAGTGATATATTGAAATTAAATTCTTTAAAAACCAGTTTTTCTGAAAAATTTCCATGTATACATATATATATATATATATATATATATATATATATATTTGTAGAATTCCCTGAAAAAGTAGAATGAAATCAATTGAAAGCTAACAAAGTCTAAATTTATCCATTTAACTTATTAGAATACTCATTCGTAAAAAGGTAAAAGTAAAAAAAAAGGCAAACGTAAAAAGCTGCATTCATTCCCTAGCTTTCACTTATCAACCCGCGTATAAAATTAATATTGTTTGCTAAAGAAATTTAACTTTGCTTATGAACTCACAAATTTAACACTCGAGAACAGGAGAACGCATCTGTCATTGTTAAACAAAAAATGCTGTACTTGAAAACTAAAGCACAGTTTAAGAAAGTTAAAACATCACCCTTGTGTTTGTCGTATAGACATTCCAGTAAAGCTCGACTGATAAAATCTTTTGTATGCTTTTTTCGATCTTTATCAGAAGTAGGCCAACTGCAACATTTTGAACATGAAAAAAAAAAAAAAAAAAAACAAAATTATATCTGAAGCTACGCATAGTATTTAGAAACTGTGAATATCCAGATTTTTTTCACTTACTTGGAAATGTGCTTTTGACAAGCCAATCTTAGCGCACTCACTGGTAACACTTCACAGGAAATGGATCGTTGTTTTAGTTCGTTGCTCATTGCCCAATGAAACATTTCCTTTTCTAAATTGATTCTATTAAACATTTTATATATATGATGTAAATATTTCTAGAACTTATTTTTTATCAAATATATTTTATCAAAGACAAATTCCTAACTACTCTAGCAAAGTTATCACCGAAGAAACGTTATAAAAAACTTACTTAAATTTGACATTTTGTGATAACAACATGGAATTGTAAAAACAAGTGGCACTCGATTACGGTCCAACTTGCAGAAGTGACGTAAGAGTGTTGGTTGGAGATCACCACATCCATGCAATGAAACTACTGCAGTTCGATCATGCTGTAATAACACTAAGTTTAAAATAACACTGTGAGAAATTGTCAATTATTAATTTCATTTTATTTATTCTGAGATTTCTGATATAAAATCATTTAAACCAACGCAGACTACCTATGCAAGTTCAGCATTCTAATTGGTAAAGCTTTTGGTGGATTAAAAAACTGCACCATTAGCAATTAAAGTTGGAAGCAAAATTCAAACCTCATCTCCTGAAAGAAATTCTAATAGTTTTTGATCTTCTGTACCATCACAAATGATAGTCAAACAAATAATTTCGGCGTATGCTGCAATCAGGAGACTGTTTATGTTGAAGATCACATAAATAGTATTTCAAATTTATGGAGTTTGAAAGACCGTTTTAAAACTCACTGCAACATTTCCTGGCACGTTGGCAAAACTTTTCATTACAGTCAATTCCAACGACTTTGCAATGCCGTGATAACTCTTTGATCAAATGTCCCTAAACGTTTCTCAATTATCAAGCATTCATTATACGGAAAAGAACAACAGTTTTAAAAATCTGAAAGCACGGAAATTTTGGCTAAACTTCGTAGCAAAAATTCTAGATTGACCACCCATACTACTGTGATCACCTATGCAATTATAAGTTGACTGTCTCGAATGGAATGATCTTTAAATTTCAATTAAAATTTGGAATTTACGACAAATGATTTGTGTGTAATAGACTTACCACACCACACCCAACATCCACAATACGATTGATGCCGTAAAGTTTGCAATATGCCATAAGCAAAACTGTGAAGTTTTCAATTTCATGGCGTTTTTTGACAGTCATACAACTATTCCCTTGAATCAAAGGTGTATCGAACTGCGACAAATTATCAGGCAAAACTGCTGCCAAACAAGAATTACTTTGATGTATAAATATTTCATTACTGGCAACATGAAATTCGAGCAAAGTCTCAGGACAGTACTGAAATCGGGTAAAAGAAAAAAAGTGAGCTAAAACCTCTGTATTTGCACGAGGGTTTTCAAACGCTGATGTCTTTCCTCATATCAGTCTCACCCAGAACTTGCTTCCCATCCGCTCAAGAACGCGGAAACCCAAAATCTGTTTCTGTTCTTAGCAGTGTGGAGTTTCTGCAATCATGCAAATGATATAGGTTGTAAAGAGTTCCGAACTTATGTGTTTTAGCATTACAGTCTATTATTTCTCATGCTTAGAAGGTTTTCTTGATCAAATATTGCAACATTCGGTGGTATTATCATGTTCATATTGAAGCTAAAATGAAAAGTGTGAAACTTCTTACTATGTATATTGATAACCGAAGGTAGAAATAAACTCACTCATTTGAAGTGAGCTAAGAATGCTTATAATTTATTACCAAATAAATGGAGAAACTTACTGGCGTCGGTTTCTGAAAAGGAAACAGATTGAGTTCTTCGTTGTTCAGCTTTTCTAGGTATTCTAGCCACTGAAATAAGCTACATTTGATATTTAAAACGAGCTTCCATTAGTGTACTTCATGGAAAAAACATATTAATTACATGTAAGAATTTACATTTCCCATCTCCATTGGTTTGCTTATATCTCAATATTAAAATATGCAAAAACAACATACGATGTAACCAAACTGATTGGAATAGTTTATTATACAATAGAAATTATCTCTAAATCACTGATAGGATTTCAGTAAGAAATCTGAACTCTAGCACTGATGCTGATAATAGGTGACTGGGCAAAATAAAAAGCCTTACATTGCGCGGTATGCGTTCCCACAAATTGTTTGATAAAAACTTGACATTGGGACAGTCATATAAAAATTTGTGTTTCAGAATGAAATCCACAATATAAGATAGCAAATCGGTATCACTCCAATTTTTTTCGGTCATCCTTCGATCATATTACCATCATTCACTTTAGTTTCTGATAACTTCGCGATTAGAAAAACGACAAAAGGGGAAAAAAAGTAGAAAAAAAAAAAAAAAAAAAAAATGGAAATTTGTAACTGTAAGTTTTCATCTCATTCATGTCACACTGCCATATTATTCATATTGTGAGAAAAGGAAAAGAATTCACATTCGTTTTAACGACATACTGTTTAAATAAACATATGTAATAAAAAGTTTATAATAATTTTTATTACAGAAAACCAACAGTTTATGCGAATTGTAACAAATTCAGTATTTTCTAGAAATCAATTTCAAGGCTTGTCCCAAAATAAATACCTAAAAATTAAAGGAACAAATTAGGATATACAAAGGAATGGATAATAATGAAGGATGATGGAAGTAAAAGGCAACCAAAAATTAAAAGAAATATAGAAGTAAAGGGAAACGTTCAAAATTATGAGAAGCAAAAGAATGGAAAACAGGATGGCAGATTAACACAAATGAGAACCAAATATTTGCAAACAACCCAAATTAATAATGACTTTAAAATCCGGTGAAGCAGAAGTTTTTACTGATCATGAATCACATAAGGAAAGCAAAACAACAGGTAGAAAGTTCGAAAGAACGTTATGAAAGACTAATCATGATGTATCACTGACCATATGTCGTTAAGTGAAGTGAACCTTGGATCTAACTTGGGTATAAAATGCGGAAACTTCTTCGAAGAATCATAACCAAAACTATCAAACAAGCGCCGGTTTAGCTGCTCAATTCTGAAATCAAAATATAGAACATTTCAGTGATACACAACATTTGAAGTGCCATTTCATACTCAGAAAGTTTCGTTGGTAAATGAACACAATGGAATATTTAACACCCTAAGCAAATGATCAATTTTTATATCTCACTTCTACATTTGGCTGGCTTAACAAGAATCACAATTAAAAAAAGAATTTATGCAAAAAAAAAATAATAATTTAAAAAATGACTGACTTATTTCCTGTAAGCCCAGCGAGGAATTTCCAGTAGCCCTCCCTGAGCGTATGAGGTTCGATCACTGCATTCCATGCAACATAACCCGTTGCAAGCGCATAAAGGATTACATCCACATAAGGTATTACCAAGTTTTTGTAGTATGAAAAGAAAAAGCCCTGAAGCATTTCAAAAACTCTAGTTTTGTTCTGTCATTATAAGTAAATGAAATCTTTTCTAATAGCAAAAGAAAATAAGAAAAAAAAAAAAAAAAAACTAACCTCAATAAACTTCCAAAACACGTACATAGCAATGGAAATATTAGGATAAAAAAATAATGACAAACCAGCTACTGCACCACAAAAAGATAATGGTGAAACCTGATTTGTACACCAACTATAACCACATCGTGAAACCTGAAGTACAGTTAACAGAAATTTTTTCTTATTAAAGCTGATAAAATATGCTCGCAAGGCAAGGGTGAGCGAGAATATTCAAAAATTAAGTAAAAAACCTTAGCCAAACAGTCCGCCATTCATTAAATCATATCGTCTATCAATGATATAACTTTAAAACCCAAACAGCAGTCAGAAGATGTCAATTATCACATTTGTATCTTTTTGATTAGTAAAAACCTCCAAATATCGTATGACTAGTTTAAGCTTCATTAAACCGCAACTTTCTACTTCAAGATTTCATATCTTGTTTTCTTAAACACGTGCATGTAAAAAACCCAGTTGCTGAGGTTGTGGAAAGGAGGATATAAAATTCAATATCGAAGAAAAACGAAACAAATCATTCTTAATAAAAAAATAAACAAATGAGATAAAAACAAAATATAAAAAATGAACGAATCACGTACTTGAAACAATAATGCCAGAAATCCGTAAAACAACGGTAAACGTAGAGTTCGAAATCTCAGAATATGTTTGATAGACGCAGCAGGCTGACGCGTAATTTCTTTTCCAATTTTGAAAATCACCATACAGACACTCCAGATTAGAGCTTGAGAAAAATTGTTGAAAAACACCTAGAAATGATAGTACACTGATGATATGAGGATGAATGAGAAGTTCTTAAATCTTAAACATTCTTAAAAATTCTTAAAAATCTTTTTCATTCTTAAAAAATTCTTAAAAATCTTTTTCACTAAATCCCGGGAAGACTTGTTGGTCGAGAAAGTTGTATAATATATATCATATACTATTAATTTTTTAAACTAATTCATCCTCATATCATCAGTGTAATAAATATCATTCTTTTGTTCCTTCTCTTCCATTCCCTGTTCATTTTTATCTCTCTCTTATATAGTAAAGTTTTCTCTTCTTTGAAATATATAATCACTCCTTAAGTCTTAAGTCAAAAAGTGAGCGATGAGACCTCAATATAATTATAAAAACTTTTTGCAAACGTATAGAAAGTTCATATTTAAACAGAACTACGAAACTGATTTCCTCGTCATATTTAAAAACCTTAAGATTGACATGTATATAAAAAACAATTATTGAAAACAAATACCATTTATAACAAAAATGCTTACCTCAATAAATCTGCTAATGCATGAATGTTGGTGTCGGCACAATGGATGCTTTGCATACCTTTGTCGCAGCATTAGCAGAGCAGTTCCGATCGGAGAATACACTCTTTGAATCACATTATGAGAAAATAATTCTTTCGTTTCATCCATTAATAAAACATATCTGTAAAGTGAGAAAAAAAAAATGAATCAACGACATCTGGTTTTTACAAAAAATATTCTACCTGCAAATTCCACGCAAACTTGAGAGGGAAAAAAACCAGAATCTCGGCCAATACAACTGTGATTTCTAAAAAATTTAGAAATACTCTCCCATGCATCGCAATCTAAAGCCGTCCAGTAAAAAAGGAAAACTAGATAGGCTATTTATTTAAGTTTATTATTGCAAATTAAAGAATGATTGCCATCATTTATTTTTGTATAACACATATTCCTCAATAGAAGTAAAACACCTTAAATTAAATGTAAGATACAAGTTGGAGTAACATGGAAGACAGGTCATTCCACATTAAGGAATTTATATCTCATGCTGATTTTGCCGAGATCGTGAACGAAAGTTTCCACTTCATCTGCAAACTTCGCTGTCTGTCTGGGCAATTAAATGAAATTGCTGAACGGGCAAGGTATCGAACCTAATACTGCTGTTATATTGCAACCAAGCATTTAACAATACCTGATACACTACGCAAACACCATAATGTACAACACTGAGATGTGAAATATTCACTGAATGAATAGGACATACTCGATAGATTTCCTTAAATTAGTATGAAGTTCATTTTTATAATATAAATGAAGTAATCCTGCAAGTCCAATCCCAAATATGATCACTGCACCATTCGGTATATACTTCAGATAACCGTGATTGACTAGCTGATGATAAGCTGTTTCTGATGCCTACAAGAGCAATAATTCCTTATTAAGCACTATCCAAGAAGAAGCAAAACAGGGCATAAATTATGATAAATAAAGATAGAAACATTTCAAAATCACCGATTTCATGTTGCGAATAGACTTAGAGCGACCCAATTTATTTTATAAACTCCGTTCCCTTTCCATCTCTTTTTTAAAAAAAGCAAAATTAAAATCAACATTATACTGAAATTTTAGCAGACCAAGTTGATTAGATACAAAGCTAGCAGTGGCCTCCTCTTCCGATTTTCGATTAAAATCGCAAGCAGTGCAGAAATCATTCCACTCATAAAACCAAGCGTTGGAACAGTGAAAAATCCCAATATTTTCCTATAATTACATAAAGAAGTACCTATTTAGAAACGGTCACAATAACATTCCAAATAAAAAACTGTAATGTAATTTTCGACGAACCTTATCTGACACGTTAGCCAAAGAAAAATAATTAAATTGGTCGTTAAGAAAAAAGAAGATCGAACTGAATCAATTAATATTTTACGCCAACGAACTTGTCGTACATCCTTTGCCGAAAAAATATTAGTCAACTGAAAATTATTACTGTACTCGAAAAGAATTAATTCTAAAGAATAAAAAGAATTAAAATTCTTGCAAATTTAATACTTATTTGCTTTGTAAAAGTTCAACATATTTCTTCCTAAGTTTTTGATACCTTCTTGTAAACGTAAAAAAAGGTTTTATATATGCTTATACTGTTACAATTTCCCATTAAGTAATAACTGACATTACTTGAAAAGAAATGATGGAACAATGTGTAAAAAAGTGATAACACAACAATCTGTCTGAGTCAAATATTAGTACGATCCCAACGTCACCTAGCAAAGGCTACGGTTTGTTATAATCCCTTGACCTACGCCGTAAAAGATGATATAGGTCTTGAGGGAGAACAACCATCCATCCCGCAACGAATCGGTGATCGCTCCGTAACAATCAGGATTCCACGTATGCACCATTTCGTAACACGTCGCTCTGTTGATTCTTAATCCAAGTGTACCAACTAGAAACTTGCTTAATACGCCCATTGCTCCCTCACAACCGTGACACCGGTTCGTGTGATTCCCAAACGGTGAAAACCCTGACAAGGTTTCGGGTCACACGGGTGTATGGTATGTTCCTCTGAAAATGTCAACCTCACAATAAAGTATTTGTAACTCGTAAACTATAGCGACACGACACCGTAAGACGAAAAGAAGGATGATGGACGTAGTATTTTTTTTGATGTTAGGATTTCCTTTTTTTTTCTCACTCCTTCGGTGACTTTTCTGAATTTCCAACACATTCTAGTAACTGACTAACCACCGAGTTTTTAGCGCTCCACTCATGAAGAATCAAGATTTCAATTCTTAAATTAATAAAAAAAAAACACCATCCTGATCCTTGCCGACCACGCGCCTGCGTCACCAAACTCTCACACACGTTAATTGCATCCTGAACATAAACCTATTCAGAATAATCACTGACTTCTCCCTCTCCCTCTCTCTCTCTCTCGTATTTCCTGTATTCACTTAGTAATTAACATTCTACCTTAGTTGAAGGTACAATTAATAGATAAAGTTATTATATTTAACTTGCAACCATAAGATTTTTACATTTATTTTTTGTTTATTTGGTACATATTTACAAATATGCCTTGTCATTTCCTTTGTCACTCTTTACATACCATTTCAAACGTTTTCCACTCCCTGTACTCTCTTAATTATTACATTCTGTTGTTCTTGTGAAGTTATTTCAATGCCTGACACATTAGCATAATTGTCATCCATTGAACTCAATTCTCACTAAAGAAGAATTGTTGTCATTTATTATTTGCTTCCAAATATGTTCCTAATATAATTTAATACATTTCTAAGGCTACAAGAATGAATATGCCATTATTTATTTAATCCCAAAAGCATATCAATTGATCCAAATGATCACGAAATTTTGATTTGTCGCATTGTTTCATCCATTATTAGATCCACATAATTGTCAACCATTATTTCATATTGTGTCTTCTTAGACTTTTCATTTGGCATATCATCTAATTCTACGTCTGGTTCTATCTGAAAATTCCATTTTTGAATTACTAACATTATTCAAACTCTACTAATTATTTGATAGATAAAATTGGACAGACGACTAAAGCATAGTTTGATTTCAGCATAAAACTTTAAGTAATACCTTTTGTAGTGGTTGTGGGATGCATTTTACGCTGCCAAACGACACTCGTCGGCCACAGCCAGTAGTATAGCTACGTTCGGGTAGAGGTAAAAACATGGGATCATTTCTCGATTCGTTTTCCTCTTTTCCTGTGCTATTATTACTTTTTGCTTTCATTTCATCAATTTCGGCAAGTGTTTTTGGCTTCAGCTCTGAAATTCAATTATTTAAATTTGCCTGTGAAATTTACAGGAAATTATTAAATCAGAGCTATAAATTGCTCTGCTATTTTTCATGTCAAATTACGAGTTTTCTTCTGATAGAACCGTTTAGGATAAATCCGATGGCAGAAATATAATAAAGATAGGAAAAAAAAAAGCTGACCTGGAAATAGTTGTACCAAATTCAGATGGTGAAGAATTCCATTATCTCGGTAGGCAACTCTTTTCAAAAAGTCATTTGAGATCAGCAGCTGGGTCAAGTCAAATGCTCGAGGAAGAGCGTTTTTTTCTGCATAAAAGATGTTACCAAACGGAATAATTCGAATCTGTGAAAAAAATTATGCCTTCAGAAGCATCAGGGATTCATTTCTTAATCCTTCTTTCAGCTGTGACTGTCATCACTTTCATGAGCTTAGTTCCATACAATTACTTGTAATTTATTTTTAAATTAAAGAAAAAGAAAAAAACGAAATCTATACGCAAGTTATTTACTATGTATTGTGATGAAAGTTCGTCGAAATACTCTATAGCAGCAGTTAAAGCAATGGATAAATAAGGCCACACGGATTTCATCGGTACCGTATCAGAATTGTCATCCGTGATGGCGTTATCAATTCTGCCTGATATCTCCAATGTTTCTGGATCATGTTGTATGATTGCAATCTTAGCCTGAAGTACTAAGTTATTAAGTCAACAATTTACTCAACAATTTTATTTACTAAATCATCCAGAGGAGTAGTATTTTCAAAAAGCTAGTGATGGGAAAGTAAATTCCTGATGTAAGATTCTAAATCAGCTCGGAAAGTATCGAGAAATGGCATATCCTACAGAATTTGGTCTCCTTTTTCGACTTGTAACTTATCTATTCAAAACAATTTATCTGACTGAAAAATTTCAACTTCAGAACAAACCGCTTCGATTCTTAAAAGCATTCCATGGCTCCATTCGTACTGGTATTGCCACCTGTAAGCATTACTGATCCTTTTCACCAATTCAAATAATTCACTTCTCGTCAAGCAACTTCGAGGAAATGCTATTTTAAAAGTTATTTGGGCTTCATCGGGCTGTGGTAGCGGTGTCCAATGTAATGCCTGCAACTGGGATCTTATTTTAACATCTGCGCTGTCGAACTGATAATTTTCAATGTGATTCAAAATTGATAACATAAATCTTCGATTAGATAAGGAAATAATCTCATACTGTTCGTATTCAAATAGCATAAATGATTAGTAAATAGTCGGATGAGAAGAACGAAATTTTGCAAGAAGGAAAAATTAAAATATTTTTCAACTGATTACGGGTGGTCTTTGGGAAACTGTCGTTATCAGCTGGTGAGTGCATTTGATGGGTGCTTTCCGATACATGACTTTTATCAAGTTATTCTGGAATCAGAGCAAATTATCCATGAAAAATGATTTGGCTTTTCTAATCGAGATCTTGCACTAAAGTAATAAAGGTGATCGCTTAAATCATTTATATCCATGTCAGGTAGGAGAAGGAGATTGAACTTACTTGATACCCCTAAAGTCAATTAGTAATATATATGGTCAAGTTTATAAGATACCCGGAGACAGACATATCATTTCCTCAATTACCTCAAAATCACTTTCGGAAGATGAAAGACAGTAATACTGCACAGAAGTATTATTGATCCAATGATTCAATTTTTTAACACGTTCTTCTTGAGCTTTTCTGCCTTGCAATGCGCTGAAAATGACAATTTTTATGGTAAAACAAGGCATTTGAGAAATTTCTAAAGGAATACTTTAATTTGGCGATCTTCAAAATATTATCAATTTTTCATGCATCGATCCTGAAACCTTAGTTTTTTAATTTCATCGTGCCATAGCTGTTTTCTCATAGATAATGATTCTTGGATGGTTATTTCTACAAGTTTCAGTTCTTCATTGCTCCATTGCTGCTTAATAAAAATAATCGGCAATTTTTCCTGAAATTACTTTCAATCTGATATAAGTGTTTGTTCAATTTCATAATTTAATATTTTCAGCACTTATTTCAGCCATAAGCATTTAAGGACTCGCTTTTTCCTAGTTTTTTGTCTCTTTTTTTTTTTTTTTTTCTAATGAAGACTTAGATTACTGTAGGAATAATATAAAGATTAACTCATTTAGATTAAATATACTTCTCGCTAGAAGTAACTGTATTTGATGAATGGCGGAGACTAAAAAGGAGTAGTGATTACTGCTCTATTTATGCCATCCAGAAAGACTCTGAGCCTTAAATCAGACGACTTTATGTCTTATACTTACTTATCACTTTATGAAATTTTTGAAGTGTTAAAATTAATGCATTCCATAAATGTGAATACAGTGCAAAACTCATTCGTAGCAGTAGTCATTGCACTTGAAATAATCATTCCTTACAAATTTCTCTTCGTTTTAAATAAATGATGGCTTAGAAATAGATTACTGATTTCATTTATTAAATAAATTATTTTAATTTGCTACAGAAATATCAGTGCAAGCAAATAATGCAAATGCAAGCAAATGTTTTTATTCATCGAATCACTCCCAACTCAAATTTTTGTTGTAAATGCTGGATGTAAAATTTTTTGCATGAAGTTATTATGTTAGTTAAGCCAATTAGCCGGCAAATAAAATCAGAATACGATATATTGAAATTGTTATTTTCTGCATTTGATATTTCGTTATTTTTTTTTTTTTTTTTTTTATAGATTGCTTCGTTATTCAGTATATACTGTCTCCTAATCACTATACCACTGCATGATGAACCGGATAGTACAGGGATTCGGTGGAACTTTCGACGCCGTTTTTAATCATCCCGCTAAATTTTCATATTTTTCCCAAATAATAATCGGTGGGCACATTCTCGCTTAATTTTTTGATCAAGCATTCAACAATAATTTCACTGATATATTTATAAAATATCAGTAAAATACTCAGTCGAATTCTACGAAAACATTTTTGACTCAAATTAACTAAATTACATTTTATTATGATATTTATAAATGATGCGTATCAACGTGTCAATTTTTCTTGTAGACAGTTCAGGTTTTTGAAATAGCATTCTCAATTTTTACTTCTTCAAGACAATGAACAGTTTGTTTAGGAATCAAGATCGAGAAAATAGTAATCATCAGGAAAGATGTGAATTTAGGCTTCACTTAATAATTTAGTAAAATCTGTAATTTTCAATTCGAGGGAGATCATTACTAAGGGAAAACAATTCATTTTTAACGAAAGAAAAAACACTTTCTCCAACGGATGCTTTCACTTCCTTCCTAACTTTTCACAGCTTTGAAAAGCTTTAAATTGGAGAAAGTTGTTTTTTCCATTATTTGAAGTAAAAACAAAAATGAAAATTAGTCAACTGAACATTTCAAATAAAGGTTAAATAAATTACTAATAGAAAACAAATTTAGATTGTTCATTTTTTTGATTATAAAGTTCTAATATATTTGTTTTCCAGAAATGGAAGAAATAGATTAAAACAATAAATAGGTTAATGAGCTCCAAAACTCACAAATTGCTCATCGTATCAGATTGACTATTTGATTTCAGCAGTTAAAAGAAAAAAAATGAAATTATTATCCGTTCCTTAAAAACTGATACAGTGCATTAGCAATGGAATATCTATCAAATTTTCCTTTTATTACATTTTTATTTTTTACTTGAATGTTACATTTTCCCATTAAATGTTTCAGCCAAAATGTTAATTTTTATAAACTTAAGTTACGCACAAGACGATGACGCGTAATATTTCACTTTTTCTTCCAAAAACTTTTCAACGATTAAACAAAATGGACTCTTCGCTCACATCACGTAAAACGAAAAGTCATTTTGGATTACAGACCTGAATTATATAATACATTCTCTGGTAAAAAACAGAAAATACTGAATATTTTTGTAAGCCATTTCAGATTTTCAAAAAGTTCGAAAACAAACTAACATTTAGATAAGGTATCGCACACTTTATAGCTTCACAGTCAGCTGTTTCGCAAAGAAAAATAATCGGCTCTCTCGATATTATTTCATTTACATTACCTGGATGATTACTGATTTGAAATTTCCAAACTCGAAATATTTTCTTATTTATATAAGACAAAAATTTTCATGTATTTTTATTACTGGTATTTTAATTAACTCCTATTTCTTCAGTTCTACCATTTCTCTTCACTTCACCAATTAAGATCATAAAATCTCTTAAGCACCAAAGTTTTTCACAAGATGATAAGTTTTCTTCAAGTTCAAAGTGGATAGTGTCATGAAGTTACAAAAACTTTGTCACTTGAACTTTACAACAACTAAAATTTCTAAATTTTTTATTAGCTATCTCTAAGCGAAAATGTAAAAATTCATAAATCATTTTAACAATATATTAAAAACTTGCAGTGGAAGTGATTTATAGTAATGATGGCCTAAAGTGGAAGATCATTAAATGCAACAAAGGATAAATCATCTACTTTCTAATTATGAAACCTTATGAGTTACGACTAATTTATCTTTTTTTTTTTTTTGATTTTAGCAATTATGCAAGTAAACTTAATGAGTAATATTTAACACTGTAACATGTTGAATTATTTGTTTACTTTATTAGATACTTATAAAATTGCGCTATATTGGGAAAATGTAATGAAAACTTTCAGTTGCCTAATTTTTCGCATGATTAGAAAGTAAGCAGCAAATGAGGAATAAAAAAAAAGAAGAAGCAAACCGATGATGTGTTGCTCGGCATCGATTGGTGCATTAGTAATTAATTTGATAATTTGATTCGTGAAATCCGACTCATCACCAAAAATATACATCTTCAAATTAATATTTATTATCATG